AGACAAGTCTTGCTTTTTCTCCTCACTCTGTGATTCTGCAGCGTGTTTCAAATGACCTCATAAGCTGTCTCGATCGAGTGACCAAAAATATTACGTGTACATCAAGCGCGCTAAATAAACACCGTATAAATCGAATCATTCCCGTGCAATACGCGATCTCGCAAGCGGCAAATTTTATTAATAACCTATTGTAATATTTGCTTAAGCAAATATTACATCTAAATTTGAAGGAGATAATCTACGTTGAATGTTATATTTTTTTTGTGATGCAGCTTAAATCGATTATCTATAATCTTTATAAGTAATTTCTTTGATATTACTGCATCTCAATAAAAAGTTATTAAAGAAGAAGATAATATTATCCCAGACAGCAAACTGATGTTATTTATTGTTATTTTGACGTAAAAATGGCCTTAAAGACGTCATTTTGACATTAAAATGACAATAAATAACTTCAGCTTGCTACCTGGGATATGACATCCCGTTTAAATTTTATACAATAACGTAGTTAATAATTAGTACTTCAATTTTAGATTTAACGATTATATTCGTCAAAGTGTTATTTAGTCATTTTTAGACTCATAGTTATGAAATATTCATTACTTTAGGATACTATTTATAAAAATGTGACGACACTGCATAATGGCTTAAAGAGAAATAGGAGTGATAATGCGGCCTTCCACAAAAATAGATTTAAAAAATTCGTTTTGTTATGAAAACAGTATTTATTTATAAAATTAACAAAAGGTAAAATATTGTAGAATATATACATATAAATGAATATATATACCAATACAACACCAAACTTCTAAAGACGTTCATAGAATATTTTAAGAATATACAAATATTCTTAGAATGTTCATATACTTATAGAATGTTTTATTAATGTCGTGTGTTATCTCTATATATATATATATATATACGTACACATAACTTTTTCCGCATATAGGCTGCTTAATACTAAAAATCTGTAGTACTGCTACCATGTAGTACAAATTATAAATTAAAAAACAGAGCTACAATTAATTAGCATTTATGTAATTCTTCGGATACGAAAATCTATCGAAAAAGAAATCAGCAATCAACACATTTAGAGAATCATATTTGTAAAATGTCATGTTATTTTGTTTAATTTTAAATAACTCGAAATGTAAGTCGAATAAAATATTAAATAACAATAACAAATAATACTTTCAAATATATTTATACCAATATTTACATACCGAGAAGAGAAAGTTAAAATTATTTTGACGTCATGAAAGTTAAAATGATGATTTTTGTTACAAAATTTGACACACACACACATTAAAAATTAAAATTAAGACGTTAAAAATTAAAAATAAAGTCATTTTGGTTTTTTATTGACTTTTGTGTGATGATAATACGCTCAAGTTTAAGAATAATGAGGAAGTGCGTGCGTGTGTGCGTATGTGTGTATGTAATTAAATGCTAAAATGTATTTAAAAAATGTTTCGAAATGCTAGAAAGTAAAAATGCGTTATAATAAATGTTGGCTTTGTATATTTGGTATATTAGCGTCACAGTGTAATGGCAAACTATTAAACAAATAATTCCACAAGTAATAATTAGAATTCACCATTTAATAGCAAAGAGGGGCCATTATATCTACTAGTCATAAATCTACCTTTTCATTTATTGTATTATTATTATTATATTATATCTATATCTTAATATTTTCGCTGAAAGCGACGAAATGATAATTATTCATCTAGAAAGTATGAAAACATATTACAAACTAATCTAAGGAAGCCTTTAGATATGACTGAATGAAACATTTTCCCATTTCCTTTTTGAGAGAAAGAGAAAATTGGAAAAACTACAGTAATAATTTGCGAATATTTTCTCGTAGAAAGTAGTACGAAGTACTTAGGTAATAAGATGCTCTTTTTGTTATTCTCATAAAGAACGCGCGGAAAATTTCAAGATTAACATCCGTGCATTCGCAAGATTAATATTCCTTATTCAATGGAAGAAGTTATTTTCTCCCGTTTATGTCGTGTACGAGCATTTCTAGGTATTCTTACTGTGACGCCGCATCGCGCGGACAATAGAGCTCGAGAACAGCTGGCTTTATCTCGATATATTGGTCGAGTGTTGTTCCATTTGCCGACTTCAGTCAGTGACAACTTTAAATATCTGAGAACGTCGTGAAGGATAAAGCAAGAGTTCAAAGTCACCCTCAGAAAGCAAGATTTCAAGCTCTTTTCCAAAGTCGACAACTTTGGAACGTTGACGTCGATCCATCCTGTTACCCGTAAATCCGCGTCATTTGAGAATCGAATTAACCGTGGCATTTTGATCAAAGCGATCTTTCCTCGAATACTATCCAGCGTGATTTTATATATTTCTCTCTTCTGAAGAGATCCTGTTCCATCGGAACAAATTTAACGTCAGATCGACATGGAACCGAGCAATGAACCATCTATTGAGAACGCGGAATAGAAGCACCACCTCTGTGTTACATTGCCTCGGAAATTGCACGTAAAGTGGTTCTGCGAAGCGAATATTGAGTATTCTCAGGCAGATAATTTGTGCCCTGAGTCACGTAACTGCGCCATGTTCAGTTACCGGCGATTTTGTCGGTGAAATTTTTATTCTACAGGCGGGCCATTAATTGTCGCAAGTTTTCGATTCCCTCCCACTGTCGAGGTCGCCTCAACAAAAAAAGAAGTACATCCCGACATCGGTCGGGAACACCTGGTGTACAATGCTGCTAATGAAATTGTCGTCCATTTAAAGGACGGCGAGAATAGAACCGTAGAAGCTTCTATCTCGTTCCATTTAAGAAATCCCTAGCTCGGACTAATCCGATTTCGTCCTAATCCGTTTGATCTCTCTAATATCTTCTTATAGGAATGCATCCAGATATATTTTAGAGTGCCCTTTTAGAGTATCAGTTTTCATCATGGATGGCCCTTATCACATGAATAGAAATGGAGATAGAAATGAAAGGTCGAGCGAGACGTATTTCACAGGTGGAGGATTTTGATATGTGCGTGATCACAAATGTGATACGAGCATTGTAGATAAATTTAAGGGACATCCTAAAGATACTGGACATTTCATTGGAATTAGATTTGATAAATCAAGATAAATGTCTCAGGAATGTATCAGGATCGATATAATTACACAGATAATTCAGTCCTGTATTTTTAAAATTCTGTATGTTTTTAGGATATAAAATGCCTATCAATATATTCGAGAGAAATCTGATTGCCAAGCATTAAAGGAAATGTTTCTCACATGAAAGGAATGATTTTATTATTTAAACATTCAGCTAGATACAAATCTAAAAATAAAGTTAGATCATCAAAATAATTATGTAGAACACTCAAATTGGTTACTAGACTGTAAAAACTTTTTGTAATATTATTATCATGCTTAACCGTTTTAGATAATTATTTTGTTGATCCAACAAAGTTATTTTCAGATCTGTATTTAGTTAAATTTTTAAGTACTTCAGCAAAATTGTTCTTTCTGTGTAGTATTAACGTAAAAACAGTTATCCTTTTATCCGAAATACTGTAAATTTAAATTTTGATAATGAATTCTCTCAAATATATACGACAGAAACGTCTTGTATCTCGAATATATGTACACGAAAGAAACATTTTGCTGAAGTATTTAAAAATTTAGTTAGATATAGATCTAAAAATAATTATATTGCAGCGTTATCATCATGCTTGAGTATTCTACACATAATTATTTTCAGATCTATATCTAGTCTAATTTTTATATGATTCAGCTAAACCATTCTTCATATATACATATATATCGGATGAACCTTAAAGACCATTCTCCTGTTCGGTGCATTCAAATTTAATTTTAGATTCCATCTCCCGGGATATGTTGGGCTGCTCATTGTTCAGCAGCGATCTGTGTTCTGTGCACGTTCGCAAACGCACGAATCAATATACAGCGCGTCGAAAGATATTAAGTTAGTGATTGGATTCGCCAACATGGAACTATCGACCGGACCCATATGTTGCTTTTATACATATATCAGGAAATAGATTTTAAATTGGCCAGATAAAGGTCAATTATTAATTCGCAGACGTTTTACCCAATTAATTGCTATTATCAACATCCGTTTTTAGTTTTATCATAATGATGTTAATTTTAATATAGGTACACAGAAAGAACAAGTTTGCTGAATTACCTAAAAATTTAATTAAACGCAGATCTACAAATAATGATGCAAAAAGTTTTAACATTTTGGCAACCAATTTGAGTGTCCTACATAATTATGAGTGTCCTACATAATTATTTTAATGGTGCAACACAATTATTTTCAGATCTGTATGTAGCTCTATTTTTAGATATTTTAGCAAAATCATTCTTCCTATCTAGTAAAATAGCAAACAGATAATTAATATATAATTATTATTTCTAATATACACAGCAATTATTTGTGAAACAACATTTGTTTTGCATAAAATGTAAAGTTTTCCAAAGACCTAATTTCATAAAAAAAAATCGTTCATAAAAAAAAATCTATTGAAAAATCGTATGCACTATGCAGCTTATTGAATTATTCTAATCTAATAAAATGACTTTTGCTATAAAATTAATAGATCAGTTAATTACTGTAATCGTTGTTAATTATCTTATAGGAGCAGGTTCATAGAACAGGTTTTAATCTAACAGAAGTAACATATGTATAAACACACTTGCATTATATTTAATGAATAAACACACAGCTGGGAAAAAAATCTGTAGACATCGATGCAATTATATCGATATTTAATCGGTTTTTTAAGATATATGGCATAAATATTATCATTCTTTAATAATAACCGAAATGTATTCATTAAAATAATTTCCGCAATGACTACGCTTGGTTCGGCCGAAATTTTATGCACACGCCATAAAGAATCGATTGACATCATTTGACAAATGTTACGTAAATGTTCTATCACAATGTCATTATGATAAACGGTTTAATTAACTTCCATTAATAATGTCAATATCAGTTCTTGTCAATTTCCCGGGAAACTCCCATCGCAACGCTGACGCGAACAAGAACTGTTATTCTTATTAACACGCTCGATAGTGACGCGCGGGAGCGATTAAAATAATTATCGTTAATAATAACGTTATCCGTTTCGGTGAAAATTCGCTCGGCGGGACGGACAATCGAGGCCGGAATTATCGATCGGATGATTAAATCGCGTCCCTTCGTAATCTCCTATGAATATTAATTTGGATTACAATGCAACGGCGTTCATCAACGTAGTGAATACATATTGGGACAATGAGTGACAGCGAGATCCATGGGACATTGCGTTGGCCAAGAGTTGAACGATTCGAGGGCGAGCACGACGCTTACTTCCTGCAGACGCAGATACCGTTGCGACAGTAACCACCTTTTTTACCTCGCAGCACGCAATGGGTTGCGCAAGCAGCGTGGTTGATAGTCAGCCACTTGGACTGCCAGGACAGAAGGTCGCAGGTCGCGCGCCGGTTCCGGATGAGCGACAGGTCCGACGGTATCTCGTCGTCCACTGGATCCTTGGTGGTAACTGAAATGCAATTGCTTCGCTTTATTTTCCGATAAAGGTAGAGAACATCAATTATTGCGAAGTATCGCGTTTTATGTACCCTTTACAAGTATCTGCTATCTTGAGAGCTTTCGTTAGACTATGCAGAGGTTTTATCAAGGATGCGTAGATATGTATGTATATTCTCTTGCGAAGATGAAGTTAACTCCTCTTCTTTATTGTTCTTGATACATAAAGCGAGAAAAATAAGAAGTTTTCGAAGAAATTTAAAAATAACTTCGTCCCCCTTTCTCTCTGTTTTTAAAGTTTAAAATTTTATAATGGGAATTATGTGACGCTTGCGAATTAAATTTTAAATTTCAATCTTTTTATGTGACTCTAATTATGCAAATCACTTTGACATTTAAATTAGTTTAAAATTTAAAAAATATGTAGCAAGGTCTTTATGGAAACAACTTATTTAGCCCGCAACTAAGCGCAAAAGATTATTTCTAATTCAGCATTCGGAAATGATATAGTAACTCGTAATAATGGAATGACTCGTCAGTAGAAAAGGTCGTGTCGAGCTCGATATGAAAGGATATCGACAGCGTATTATCAGAGTATGCCGAAAGGGTGTCAGAGAGAGGAGAGGAGAGCGAGAAGAGGAAGAATGTGTGTGTGCAACTATTATGCACGCGAGACAAAAGACTGTGCATTCTGGATATTTATTACTCTATTGCGAAGTATCGTCACGTTGTATCTCGGCGACATATCATTTTTCGCGAAAATGAAATTGTAGTATAATACATTCAACTAGCCAGGCATTTATTATAATATCCGATCTATTAATTATCGACAAAAAAGTGACTTAATGTAATTCGAATTTGATATCTAAGTGAATAAATCTCTGATAAAGTGAGAATTATATATTCAAGATTAATTACAACTTGTTAAGATTGCTCCATTATCAAAGGAATTTGACTATTATTTAAATCTAAATCTCGAGCTGACGGTAAATATATGTATATTGGGCCGGTTCTCAATTAAAATCTCTTTATCAAAAATGACGAACAATTTTCTTTATTATAATATAAAAGTAAAATAAATTGAGCTCTCGAGGTAAAGAAGGAATAAAAAATACAATGACTAACAGGTAATTGAAAGTAATAATCAACGCAATTATTCGTGCATAATAATTAATAAATGTATTGTTCAAGACGTTACATACAAGTAAGAAGAATCGAACATTTCGGCTCCGTTCGAGCCATCATCAGCGATATCCTATGGTAGATTTAAAAATTAATCGTACCGAATAAAATAAGTCTAAAAGAGCAGCTGAGGAGTCTCTTCAATTCCATGTTTAAAAAACGTCCATGTCAATAAGCTGTTTGGCTGAATCAGCACAGCTCTTAATTATGACCAATATTCAAGAAGTAAATTATTTTGAAAGAATAAATACGCACAAAATTCGTTCAGAGTACTGGTTCGCACTGAATAAATTATTGAAATGACGGCTCCGGCATAAACATGATCACTTTGTATGTAACGTCTTGAACAATACATTTGTTAATTATTACGCATAAATAATTGCGTTGATTATTGCTTTCAATTGCCCGTTATAGTTATGTATTTTTTAATTTTCTTTGTTATATCTGCAAATTTGGATTATTTTCATTAAAATATATCTAGTATTCTCATTCTTTTTTTTTAACATGAGTTATATCATTTTGGTTTCTTGAAATTAATTAGTGCTTTTTAATTAGTTTCAATTAAGTGAGTCTTCTGTTTACGATCAATAATATCGATCAGTAATATCGAATCAATAATACTGATAGTATACATCAATATTTTTACAATCTAATTGGTTAGTATATGAAAAGAACGGTTTTATTGAAGTATCTAAAAATTTAGCTAGATAGAGATCTGAAAATAATTTTGTTGGACCATTAAAATAATTACGTATAAATCTTAAGCACGAATAATGCCGTAAAAAGTTTTGACATTCTAGCAAACAGTTTGAGCGTACGTAATTATTTTGATGGTCCGACAAAATTATTTTTAGATCTGTAATCTAGCTAAATTTTTAGATACTTGATCAGTAATTGTCCTTTCTGTGCATTATTGATAATATTTCAACTCATTTCTTTGTACGGACTTTATACGATTAGAAATCTGTCAGTACCTACAAATATTAACAGTATTATTAACGATGATCCGGATTCTTGACTCTTAAGCGGTATTTCTCTTTAGTAGGGAATTCTGATGCTCAAGAATCAAGAAATCCGGATTACCGCATTCAATATCAATCCATCAATATTAACCGCGCACGGTCAATAATATTGTCAATATTTGTTGGTACTGACAGTATTATTGATGTAAAAGACGTGTAAGAATCCTATTACAACCTAGCATCAGTAACTGTATTACCAGATGCTCGCGTCAGCACCGAAGGATTAAGAGAATTTATTTATGATCTTTCTCAGTGAAATATATGCTTACCCAGTTCATAAGTAGGTCCGTCGTAGATAGCCGGTAGTGTACTAACTGAGGTGCAAGCCAGTACGACAAAGATAGCGAGGATAGCGAACAGCTTCATGATTACGGAACGTATTCTCGTGTGCACTCAAATTCGTTTTAATCAACAATGTTTCTTAAGGAAACGCGATGTCGCTTTATATACCTTATCGCTGTCGCCGAGATAATTCTTTTCTGTTTTCCTAGATGTGCCTCCGTCCACCGCCTTTCCTCTTGATGTCATCGGAATCCCCGCGGCTTCGCATTCGTTATTTCTAGATCCGCCAGCCACTGGCTAAATCCGCTTTGTAGACTGACCTATGTATTTGAATATTAATTTCCGGCATTATCAGCGTTATCGGGACGACTGCGAGTGAAAGAGAGAGGCGACGAAACAGGTCGATCGATCGCAGCATTTCTGTTGAACGGAAGCGTGGATGTGACTATATTTCGCGATATAAGTGAATTAAAAAGAAATCGACAGGTATTCATTCCGTACTATTCAATTTGTGAACTCGGCTACTTGAAGCTTCTTGGATATAATTCTTCTATTTCTTCATACTTTTTCGACATACCGATATATTATATAAAAGAGAAAATCTGATAACGCGGAATATTGAATGTTAAGCAAAGAGCAATTTATTTCAGCGTATATACGCTGCAATTATGATTAAGAGATTCGTTTTATATATAAATTTTCGATTACTCCGACCAGATTTGATCTTTTGCGATAAAAGGCCGGAATATATGTGGATATTAAACAATTCGAATTTCCACATTACGACCACAAAGAGAAAATTTATTGAAACAAAATTAAAAAGTCAGATGGAATAACAACTCTTTACCATTATGCAAGGTCTATTGTTTCGCTTATTGTACTATAATAAAGTTCTGCGAGTTTTACATGTCCAAAACATCAGCAATTTTGAGAGAGACGTCATGGTGTCGATTAAACTGTGAATAAACAATTGATGATGGAAGATAATGCCACAGCTGTTGCAGGTGATAGCAAATTTTATTAGCGTGAGCTGTACTACAGCTGACCCAGATACTGAACAAAAATATGACTTCTGCGAACACTAAATATTTATGTAACTGCGCAAATGTAACGTTTAATACGTTGCTGTCATTCGCGACATATTTTTTTCCCTTTCACTGCATTTGAGCGCGTTACGATTCTGGGGATTATATCCCACGCAAATATATATTTATAGAAGAATTAATGCCGAAATTACCCCCTCATTACACGGACGTGATGCGCGAAGAGGGGAGATATGTTCTGGATACATCAAATCGAAATGCTTGCACGTGCTCGGAATTACACGAACCGAACAAGGTTATATATTACGTGCTTCATACCCTTCCGGATGCTTGTCTCTGAGGAAAATAAAAAATTCTGCGGGGAATTTCTCGACTCTCGGTATCGCACATACTCGAGAAATCCCGTCGGACATCCATTCGGAATCTTAAGCAGCATACACACCAAGGCGTTAATTCCGTTATAAATGGAGCTAAATACCGGATATCTAATGTCTATTCCACCGATACAAATTAACTTTAATCTTGAAATTCTAAGTAGTTCTAAAAACTAAAAAAGGTGAAGAGTAAGTTAAATCAAAATTAAAGTTAACACTAGAACCGCGGGTCCAAATTAATCCAACCACGGTTCAAAGTAAATCTGATTTTTTGCAAGAAAGAGTTGTCACCATAAAAATAAAAAATACTTATAATTAATTGATTGTTTGTGAAAGCCATAAAAATCTAAAATTCCACGTGCAAATTCAAATTAACTAGAAAAGAAAAATTATCAGATGAATAAAAAATGGCACAGCTGCGGTTCTAATGTCAATCTACACGGTGAAACGGAGCAAATATTTGTAATGAAGACAATTAAAGAATAAAGATAACTAAAGTGCAATGTCTGTACTTATAGTTTTAATCTTTTAATTAAACTTTAATTAAAGAGGATTCCCAGAGAGTATCGCAATTAAAAATTCAGATTTCTAAAATATTAATAAACCGAAAGATTTTTAAAACGTTTTAAGATCTTATAAAATATTTGTAAGGGCAGAGATGAGAAGGCAGTCGTACTGTCCGAGCTCGAGCAGCGGAAACACCGGTGAGCCGCTGATTGTCGTCGAAGAAGAAGCGGATCGCTGTCGCGTGGAATCACCGCCACGATGCGTCGACCCAGACTCGCCATCCTTGAATCCCTATCTGCTCTCACCATGGAGGGACGCCAGGAAGCACTCCTTGCCGACGCCACAATGTACATCCGGAATAACCGCATCCCAGGTATGTGCTGTGCACATGCACAAGAAGTCCTTCGCGGTCGGCGCTATCGATATGTGCAATATATCCGCTTTATGCGAGCGCGAGAAATTTGAAATAGACTGATTCTCTGAACGCCAAAATTGTCGGAGTGATCGATCTTGAAGGGAAAAAAGACAGATACACGAAAAGGATAGTTTCATTGAAGTATCTAAAAATTTAACTAAACACAAATTCGAAAATAGCTTCGTTGGACCGTAATTACGTAGAAATCTCAAGCATGATGAGCAATGCTGTAAAACGTTTTGACATTCTGGCAATTTCAGAATCCTATATAATTATTTTAATGTGGTCCAAACAAAAATATTTTTAGATCTATATTCAGCTAAATTTTTAGATTCAACAAAATTGTACTCTTCGTGTATTAAAGATTATATTAAAATTAAAAAAATTAGATATTAAATTAAGATAAAATTAAAAATGAACATATATAAACTTTTTACTTCTCAACTTGTATTTTAATTTAATATTTTTGTTTTGATAAAACTATTATTTGATTTATTACTGTTTTGATGAAGCTTTACAAGCTCCTGTTCACTCGCCACTTCTATCTCAAATTGTGACGTCAGAAGCAAAAAAATACACAATAAAAATTCTTACAAAATATATTAATATGGAAATATGTTTCAACAACACTTATACTATTTTTATAATATCCAATTTGAGTTACTTTTAATCATTTCTATAGTACTAATGCTCCTACACAATATGCGTTAATTTAACTGAAACAATGGAGTTAAACAATTTAACTCAATAAAAATGTATTAAATTTGACTCTAATTTAGTTTATCATTTGCTAAATGTATATATTTTTTTTTAATATAAACATTGTTTACTTTGAAACTAACCATGGAAATGGCTTGATTTGTATTTTGATACGCAGCCATGAAATTTATATAAAAATAACAAAATGTTATTTTTAACTCAACGGATGGTAACTGGATTTACTATTGTTTTTTTTTATACTTTACAGGGTAATTGGCAAAATCGACTTGTAAAATACAGAAAATTCTTCTCTTTTGTTTCGTTAATTAATAAATAATTTCGAAATTATATCATATATTTGAAAATGAATTATGCATAACCAAAAACGAAATCAGCAATATTGTTGCTCATAGCTGTTAAATTAATAATATACAGAATAAACTGTTAAATTAATAATATATAGAAATAAATATGATTTAATTTCTCCCCAAAACGAGAAAATAGTTTTCGGTAGATATATTTTATAAGTCTGTTCCATCGATTGCAAAAATGTTGTTTTACTAAAAAATATTTTTATTTAAATATAAATATTTGAAAAAATTTTTATTGTATATTTTCTCGCTTCTGACGTCAATCTGATACTAGTAGTGGTGAGTATGCCTTAACAGATATCTTACTATTCTAAATTTAGCATCATAATGATATTATCATTTTAATGCGTATAGTTACTTTTTTAAAAGCTTACGACCAAGATCGACCTTTAAATAATCACGTTAAAAATTTGTAATAAAATCCGAGATTGTACGATTCAGATTTACAGTATTTCCCGATGAGGCTGTCAGTCCTTTGATTGCCAATTCGATTAATTAAATTTCTTTCTCAAGCAGTAAGATAAATCCGTATTTGGTGTCGATGTCGATAAGATGGTCTCCTCTTAAATTGCACGCGATGAATAGGTGCGACGATTGAGCGAACGTGGCGGAGAAGGTTCCGGTCCATCAGCAAGGGAGGCTGCTTTTCTGGCGACGCTCTCACAGACACCGGCACCGACGGCCGGCGGCCGGCGGCACTCTGTTGTCACGATCTCCAGGGTGCCGACTACCCTCTTTGGGCGCAATCGTCGCGAATCCATCGCTGCTTTTCCCATGGGAGGCGCCACCAGGATATTACAGAGCCGGCGAGACTCGTCCACCGGGATGAGTGGCCCGCCCAGCAACAGCGGAAGCACTCACAATCTACAACTCGATATTATGGATGATATTGCCGAGATAAAAGCCAGGAAGGTAAATTGTAACTCTGGATTAGCGACATTTTTAGAAGTAATTGTAGTAATAGGGTATACAGCCTAAAGTAATACTTACATGAATAATATAAATGAGGTAGGACGAATAACAAACCATAATGATGAGATCATTCAAGTCTTATTTTCTTGCTAGTTTAATACAGAATCAAGAAATAAGACCGAGCTTTACGATAATCATTTGTAATCTCATGACAACTACCCTATAAGCGCATAATATTATTTAATATGAAGTAATATTTTAGGCATATTCTTAATATTAAATGTAACATTTTAATAATATTTTACTAAAATTATATAATATTACATGATATTCTCGAAATATTAATAGAAGGTTATATGTCCACTCCTAATATTATGTGATTATTAAAAGTATTATAACATTTATTTAATGTTACTGTAATATCGTATAAATATTAAAAAGTATTATAACAGCGCGCGCATTTACTTTAATTTGTAAAACTGTTACATCTGTTCAGTATACGTTTAAAAACTGAAAATGATTTTGGCGCGCAGTTGTAAGACTGCCAGAACTGGATATGTACTTAAAATCACGTCGAAACGTTTTTTTTAGTACAAGATGCAGCATAGACTGATAAGAACTTTTCGTTATTGGATTGTGAATTCAAATTGCACAAAATTAAAAATAATTAATATTTATAAGTATTTTAATAATATTTCAGGAATATTAAGATATAATACCTAGGGTATTATATAAGTGGACCTGTAACCTCTATAGAATACTCCCGTAATATTAAAAAATATTTATGGTATCCTCGAAATATTATAATAACATAATTTAATTTTTTTTA